GACGTTTTACCCCGTCCAAAGGGGCGTATGATCCGACGAACTGCACAGCGGCCCCCAATGGATTACCGTTTTCATTCACCGTACCGCTGCCTTGTGGGTCAGGCCTCGGTTAGCCAAAGATTCCGGTTGTGAATAGCCTCAGAAAATTTACCTGCTTTTGATTGAGCAACCTAGCAGTATCATGCCCACGAGCAAATAATAGACCTTTTTTCCTTTTTATAAGGATTATTGTACCGTGACACAGTCTGATCTCAGATGTGTGTGAAAATATATCAGAGATATTCTCTTATATAAGTGTGATTGTAATGGTTTGAGGAGTAATTCACGGAAAATATATGTTCTCCTACGATGTGTGTTCTGATTACGATGATTGGTTTATTTTGAGAAAATCAGTTACGTTTGACTANATGGGCAAAATCTTTTTATTTATTTTTTTTTTCAAATACGTTTAGGCGGTCGAACTTTTGTGGAACCTCTCTCGGGAATCGGTATAATGCTGGTTGTTCTCTAGCAATCCAGCATTAAACATTGGGAAATACAAGGGTTGAAGACGTCGGACACACGATAGACGATGAAGTGCTGACAAATTCCTCTAACACAATTGATTATAATCTATCTGACTCGCCACTTTGTAACGGTTTATTAATAGCAAATTTTTGCATATTTCTGTCGGATCAGTCACCCACAGAATAGTTTAAGGTACTGGCGGGGGAGGGCTCAAGTCGTGGAACAAACCTGGGCTTAACCGGTTTGGTGAATCAACGGTTTATGTCTTCAATATCCCCGAACGGACTGTCCCCACTGACAAGAATCATAAAACTGTTTAAGCATTCACCAGATCTCTCGAGGTCCTTTGTTTGAACGAAAGGTGCTGAGCGTAAGCGAAATTCAGATGGTGAATTTCAATCTTAAGAGGCTTTGACAGGATCTTCATCAAATGGTACCCCTTAGATTAGAAGAATAATGAAGAACAGATCACAGAGATGACGAGGTATGAAAACTGTAGATCTGATCCCTAACGGATAGTCACGACGACTAACTGTTCCGTTATTGGAACCAACAACCTAAACCATGATACTTGCAGGGTGTAAACTATATAAGATAAGAGAGTCATTGAAGAGAAGTCACAACACCTCTGATAAATCGGTAAATAAATAAATAAATCTGTAAACCTCAAACAAACAGAGCGAATTTATGCTTCAACGACCACCGTCTCATACCACACAATCAACCATGCGAAAAATCAATCCCTGAAAGTCATTGAGATAAACCAGTATGCGTTGTATCGTCAAGCTGTGTGACTACGTCTCTGTGAAACACAGGACAATATTCCGGATTTTAGTGCAATTCTCAGAAATGACAATCAAATAAATATATTTGTCTTTTCACACACATTTTAGTTCAGACTGTGTGCCAAACAAATTACGGTACAATAATAAAATAATAAATAAAATAGAAAAAAGGTTCGTTATTTGCTCGTGGGTGCGATACTGCTAGGAAACCCAGTCCAAAGCAGGTGAATTTTCTTAGAGAATTCACAACCGGAATCGGTTTACCAAGGCTCACAAGGCAGCGGGACGGTGTATGAAGAAAAGAAATCCATTGAAGAGCAGTGTCTAATTCATCGGATCATCCGCCCTTTGGACGGGTCCAAGGTACCCAATACACCTCGATGCCCCAGTGAGCCGGTGACAACTGCCACGGCTAGGAAGGTGTGGATGGATGTGGTTCGTACGCCTCTTCTTAGGTGGTTTGGAATCAGGGTTTTCAGCCGACTGCACTAGGTGAACTGCCAGTGGCTCACCGTCCCGGTTATACTCCCAGATATTGGCTTATTGTGCTCTCACATTGGTGGGAGAGCACCCCGCCACGTGAAGGCAGCAAGTATGGCTTCCTCAGTAGAGGCTATTCGAGACGCTTTGTCGTATGAGAGCATTTCGCGAGGTGTAATGCGGAGGGCTGATCAGTCGCAACCCGAAACACCCTCCTCCGCGACCATATTGAGGCTTTTTGAGGCAGCGCCAGTCAAAAGAAGCCCAAATTTAATCACGCCGCAATCGTCAGTCAATGGAAGCCGGACACGTACAGTAGTTTACAGGTCTTTGGGACGCCACTGACCCTGTCTTTGTAATCATGGTACTACACACATTGAACCAGGACCACTCACGTGGTCCAACCAATCAGACTTTTGCTTCCCTTCCCAGGAATGTCCTTAATTAATCAACTCACATCTCATTTCGTTTCCATATCTAGCTTGACATACGATTACCAATGTTATATATTTCACTGTTTCATTAATTGCCTAACTCAGTGAATCGTTAGTGAACAACCCAACGCAAAACACTTGACTAAAACCTACATCGGTATTTACTTTATAAAGTAATCACATAAATTCTTGTGGACAACTGAACGAAAGTATGCGAAATTGATGACCTAGATCGATACTGTGCAAATTGTTCTTGTTGGTTCTGATACTTATTTCTCGTTTTTCATTTTCACTTTCTTCTACTGAACATGTAATGATACGACTTTCGGTAAGAGGGAACTGGCCAATCCAACGGCGGTCATTCAATGCACAATGGGGAAAGTCAGGTGGTGGCGGGATTCGAACACACGTCCTCTAGGGTGATCATTTGGTGACGTTACCACCGCCCTCTGTTTACTGGCATCAGAGACTATTCTATTGCTGAAGTGGAAAGAACTAAAGGACAACAAAGATTGCGGTTCATTTCGGAATTTACCTTCCCGTCATCTTGTACGAACACATCAGGGCGTCGGAACGAGGCTAGTGCGGCAATTGCAGCCAGTGCACCACAATCACCGAGATTGCCGTCGTACGACAGAGCACGCAGCTCAACACGAATTGCAAATACACGTTCCCAGGCCACAATACACAATGCGTCCAGATCGATCGAGTCTCGCAGCAAGGTTTGTAACACAGTAGACAAACGTCTGCTCTCATCGTCTCGATTCTGTTTCCGTTGTAGGTCTACAAGGGGAGGAATGGAATAGATAGAGTTCTAATTGCAGATTAAATGAACAGAGTTTGTGTGGTCAAACTGGAATTGTTTGAAAGATGTGCATTTTCAAAATACAGGTAGATATTTGAACAGCAACTGGGGTTAGGAGAATGTTCTACAAATTGATTCTTCCCGGAATCACGTTCAGCATGTGTTCGAAAGGTAGCGACTGATAAAGAAGCGGTCTAATCCAAGTAGGATGGTAAGAAATCGATATTCGGCGCCCTATCCAGATGTACCAATCACAATCATTATATTCAAACTAGCTCTGGGACATTTCATAATGACAATCGCCAGCTCGGCATTTAGGAGCACGTGCAGTGCGAACCCATCGACCCAACTGGGGATCGAATCCGGGA